AGGTATATTTCTGGTTTTAATGCTACGTTTATACCTAGACTTTCTTGGAGGGCTGTTCTAACTATTTTCCAGAATCTTTGTACCATATTACATTTCCACCACATATGGTAATAAGTACCTTTGCCACTTTTACATTTCCAACATCTATCGGAATATCCCCTGTAGCATTTGGCCAATTTAACTGGTGCCCAGTGCCATCTATGGAACATCTTATAAACGTTTTCTTTATATGCAACCGCTTTCATGTATTTGACAGATTTCCACATACTTGCCCATTGCTCTTCCTCAATTTCCCCTATATCTTTCCCCCAGGAGATCATTACATTTTTAACGGCTTCATCCTTCATAAGTTCCCTTATATGCAAATTATACAATTTCTGAATTAATTTGTCGTTTGAGGATAGCCATATTTTGTCTAGTTCGTTATTTTGATCCTCAAAGCCTCTTGTCGCGTCTTTCTTGAATCTGTCTCTTAATGTTATTAGCTCCCACCATGATAAATTATTTTCTCTTCTCAATTTTTCTTCTGTTTTTAGCTCGTTTTTTTAATTTAGTAGAGTTTGATAGCTTTCCTTTAAGTTCCTTGTTATTGCTGAGGGTATAATAAAGGCTTCTAAAGGGGCAACCCATCTTGGCGTTTTTTTGTACCATATTTCTTTAATTTTTGCCCATACTTTATTTAACGAGCCTCTTAATAAATGTCTGCCAAAGTTTGAATGGATCTTGTCTTTCCCGTACCATACATAAGCGTGCCACCCCATACTAAGGTCATGACCTTCTAATGCTAAAAGTCTTGTATTTTCAAGTTTTACCCAGTCCTTTATCCAAGTTAGGGCGGCCGCTTGGTAGTATATGTACCAGTTGGGAACATTCAATCCTCCTCTTTCTTTACTGTCTTGGAGCACCTTCCATTTTATTCTAGCTTTCTTATGTTGCCATATAAATTGTCTAGTGGCTTTATTGAGATCCTCTAAGAAATTTTGCTTTTTTAACACTGAAATATTTTGTGCCAAGTACAGGAATCTAGGTAACACGTTCATCTTGACCAATGCAACTCTACCCATAAAGGATAATGGAATGGCATTCCATTTCTATAGGTCCGATCTAATATCTTTCAAAAGCTTTGTATAGTTCTCTTCGCTCAAAGAGTTATTTTTGTTAGTCATATGTATGCCTAGATATTTAACTTTTTTAGCTATCTCCATCTTGGTGCACGCTGAGATATGTTCTGTCGTGTTCAGGGTGCAGTTCTTTATCAGTATTTTGGATTTTTTGTAGTTAATTTTTAGTCCGGCAATCTGTCCATAGTGTTGTATAGTTCTCATCAGATCTTCAACCGATTCTTTGGGATTCTCTATTATGAATGCCAGGTCATCTGCAAATGCCTGAAGTTTAAATTCTTCTCCTTTCACCTTTAAGCCTTTTATTTGCTTGTTGTTTCTTATTCTAGTTCCTTTCTGAATTTCTATAGTATCCGTTGTATCTCCATTCACTATTACTTTTGCATGTTGTTGTTTGTATATAGCTCTTATTATATTGTAAAATTCTTGACCTGGATCCGCTGCTTCTAATTTTTGTAATAGAAAGTCCCATGACAGATTGTCGAATGCTTTTTCCGCGTCCAGAAACATTAACATTAACTCCTTTTCTGGATGTTCTTCGTAATATTCTAATACATCAATTATAATCCTTATATTGTTTCTCATTTGCCTTTTGGGTAGAAATCCGGTTTGGTCTTGGTGTATCGTGTTTGTC